TCCACTACCAAGGCTGAGCCTCCATTCTTAAAAACGGATGGGGACAGCCCATCGAGGCCGGAAGCCTTAATCCGTTTGAGGTGACTTATTTACCGGGTAACCTCCACTTCAGATGGAGGACTGATGTCAACTGGCGGTATTTGCACAGTTGGATCGAATGGGGGAAAGTCTTGTGTCGAAGGGGACCAGCTAAACTCCATAAAATGTTCTGCCCAACATTCAAGACAACGTTCCTGAAGTTGAATGAGTGTGTCGTCAGACTCCTTAATTACCTCAGTTACGCCTGCTTTCCTTGGTCTTGTACTCCTAATTAAACGAAAAGGATTGCGACTATTATCAATAGCCGCAGCCTTCTCCATCCCTCTACACTTTCCTACCCACCACTTCTCGCGGTCATTCCTCAGACTCTTAATGAGTTGGCGTTTAAGGGATTTGCGCGCTTTGTCGTATCTTGAATCCGATGGAATGGTTTTGCGAGCGTCCATCAGGGTAACCGAGGTTGAGGAGATCCATCGTTTTTGCTTTGATCGTGCGCCAGAGTTCACCGCTGTCTTGATTGAAATTTGGATCGCTTCCTTGATTGCCGACCAGTGTTCGCTGAGTCCTCCGGCTGATAGTTGAGTTGAGAGGCGATCTGATAGTTCCGCTTCGAAGGCCGATTTGCAACTGTCGGTGATAGTGTATTGTGGGCATCCGTTTTCGGCGGCTTTTCTGCGGTTGTTTATCAGGCGTAGGGAGAGTCTCGCTCGTAGCATGGCAACGGTGGTCAGATGTTCAGAATGACTAATCTGGAAACGGGGTGGGTGGAGATTGTTTTTTCGGGTTTCTGTTTGCCTGTGCTAATGAACCTGATTGATCAAAATCGTCAAGCAGTTGAAGTGATTAATCTTTCGTTCCCCGTGATGGAACCCCATCAACGCTGTTTAACTTTTCTTTTGTAAAGCGAAAGGGCTAAATCCTATGGCCAAATATATACTGTAAAAAGAAAGGTATGTGGTGAGGACATTGGGGCAAGAATCAATTTGTTAATATTACTCTTAGTCGGCTTGAAAGACGGAATGAGATTGTTTCACAATTTTACAGTCCCGGTAAGAACAGAAGACGGAAGAATAGATGTGGGTACAGACAGAACGTTGATATAAGTGGCTGTCCGTTTGTTTGCTTTCATCTTCCGGAAAACTATTTGTACATTCATATATTCAATAAAAAGAAAGGAAACCGACTATTATAACCCCACCCCGGGGAGTGAAAAGTATGCAGGCCCAAGAGAAGAATCGAGTGCCCAGATTAGAGCCCGTAACTGGGAACGATTTCGCAAACAGAAGGATCGGAAGCAAGAAAACCATCACCGTGCTGACTACGTGACACTCGATTTGAAGTGAGAAACAGTACAGCTAAACTCGTAAACAAAGGTAGACGAGTTGACGCTCACATCGTAGTCAACGTGACCGGTGGCTAATGTGCACTTACCGGTCAGCTTGATATGCATTTGGGCATCGAATAGCAAATTCTCGGCCTTGATGTCCCGATGCACGATACCCATCGAGTGAATGTGATCGACCGCATGAAGCACGTCCATGAATTTTACCCGAGCCTCAGGTTCCGGAAACCGCCCGTGATTGGCGATATAGTCTTTGGTGCGTGAAGGTAACGGGGGAAGGGAGACATTGTGTGTGGGGGGG